AAAAAAAAAAATCAAGAAAAGATGCTTATCTACCCTCTCCAGTGGTCATGAATTTAGTAAGAAAGTCTAAGACATGGCCAGCTATTCATGTCTTTATCCTAAAATCTTGCTATATAAAGGATAATTTTTGAAGGGCAACAACTGGAAATATTGCTTCTGTTCACAAGTTCCTATTACATATTTCTTTCTGAAAAACTGGATTTGTTGGCCTCTTTCTTTGCTCTCTCAGCTCCCTCAGCCTTTAGTGATAGACTTGCATACAGCTACCCACCGTACAGCATTGATGAGCCATCAGGAGCCAAGAAGGCAAGAATTGCGTTGTGGAATGAAAGATATGGGACAAATCACAGGTGGCCAGGAATGCCTACATGTGTGTGGGGAAGAGGGTGGTGTGTCTGTTAGATACCTGTGACGTCCATTAATAGACACCTGTGACATCCATTAATTTCAAGGATGCTCCCAAATGCCTATAGGCCTAGAGCAAGTTATTAAGGGACCACTGTAGAGGGTGCTGAGGCAAGGAAGGGCCACAGATAGTCACAGCAATGGGTTGGCCTCTTCTGTATGACCATTATTTGGCAGCAAAGGCCAAACTAGTAACAAAAACAAAAACTAAACAGCCAGAGGAAGAATTGCAACTAGAAAAGGATGTGTGCCTTTCTACTCTTATTATATCTAATTTCAATGACAAAATTAAAGACCAAGAGAACAAAATTGCAACATTATCATGTAGATTTGTCTGCCTGTGGGAAAAGAAATGTAAACTGAAAGTTAGAAGTAGCATAACTAAACAACTCTAGGTGTCTGCATCTAATTGGAATGTGCAAACCTGAAATCCATGTGGATGTCATGGAGAGAAAAAGACTCTGAAGACCTAGAAGGCATAAAGCAGCATGGCAAATGTGATCTTTGGCAAGCTCACCCCTCATGCAAAGGAAAGGGAAAGTTTAATAACTGTAGCAAATGAATTCAAGCAATTCAGGAGACTCACTATCAGGGAATACCCTGCAGCAGACTCTTAGCAATTGTACAGGCCTTAAACAAATGTCTAGGGGACCCTTGAATATTTGGATGGTCATGTAAGGGACACAGAGTGTGGTGGGTAGTTGTTAGCTTAAAAAGAAAGAGCCAAAGTGAGTAATATCAATACACACACAGCCCTGCAGCAACATATTCATAATAGAACACACATACCAGGAATGATCCTAGGGACAGGATTATTGTAGCTATGAGGGAGATTTGAGAGAATTAAGAAGATTTATCAGGAA